GCCAACCTGGGCTTCATAGAGAGACTATGTTTCATAAAGACAAACAAATTCAGTGACCCAAATGCAGTGGTACATACCCTTAACCCATCTAGTGCAGAATTTTAGGCAAGAGGATCATGAGTCTGAGACCACCTTGGAAACATAGCTAGCTGCCATCTCAAAAATTAAAAAAAATTAGGGTCAATGAAGAACTGCATTCAATCCAGAAACCTACATGATGGATGGAGTAAAGGAACTCACAAGTTGTCCTCTGTCCTCCACAAATGCACCATTACATGAGCATGTCCCCCATCACACAAATAAACATAACAAAATAAAAATAAACCATCTAGTGATTCACTTGAATAAACAGTAAGTTAGGGGCTTGAAATGTAGCACAGTGGTAAAGCACCTGCCTACTATGCATGAGACCTTGAGTTTAATCCCTAACACCACAAAAAAATGTTAGTGGGCAAGGTAGAAGATGAAAATAAAGTCTTCTAAGCAAAATAAGCTTGTAGAAAAGTACAGGTGAGAGTATGTTCATTCAAGATTTAAAAAAAAAAAATGACTGAGCACCTTAATGCAGACATTATGCTACAGGGGTGGAAACAATCTGACCAGTCTCACTGCTCTACTGAAAGCAGGAAGCATTCATGTTTGTGTACACATGTGCTTGCATGACTAGACTAAAAGAGGGACCCTGAACAAAGCAAGGCCATTGAACTAGCAGTTTACAATCAGAGATGTTCAGAGTAACAGACATTCACTATCATGAAAAGTTCAGTCATGAGAAGTCATCCAATTCCCACGAGCAAGCCTAGACCTCACTTGATGTAATCAGAATCCATAGACAACCTACAGAAACTGTAGCATAATCAAATGAAGAGTGAGTTTAAAGGGTGACGTCAATTCCAAAAGTGGAATAATGTCACAAGAAACTATTGAACCTGCAATCCAACAGTGGCACTGACATAAGACAAAGGGACCTATACAGAAAATTTCTAGGGATTCATCAACAGAACCTCCAAGCGCAGAACAAAGATGACAAATCAAGGGTTTGCAGCATCCCTTTCAATGGGTTCACACAAAAGATAAACAGATTTGAGGAGAAGATGAAGACTGACATTTTGAAAAACTTACTCAAATGTTTACAGAACTCCAAGTGTAAAGGGACCACAATAGCTGCCATGTGCCATTTTTATGAGTTAGGTACCGAAATAGCCAAACATTCTGTCCATATTACTTGGTCTTTAAGAGAAATACCTGCCATGATTTATATATCACAAATAAATATCATAAATAAAGCTTTTCAAATTCACTAAATACACTGTGAAAACTGCCAACTTCTATCCAATGCTCAGCATAAAGCAGTCCTTCCTTTCAAGATATCAAATCCTGGAGATTTCAACTAGACCCTTACAAAGGTTATCAGTGTATTACATGTTATTGATTGAAAAAAAAAAAGAGGCTCAGAGAGCATCAGTCTTTTGTTCAAATTCACACAACAGAGGAATGAAGTTTGAGTTTGAAGTCAGATTTGTCTAAGTATTGCACTACACCACCCTGAGTGTGAAGTGTTATGGAGGTCATTAAAACATAAGTAGACTCAAAGAAAGAACAAAATTAATAAGCTGAGGAAGGAGCCCCTACACTAACCCATATTTAGAGAGTGAACTGTGGTATACAGATACACAAATAATTCAGAGAAGCAGGCAAAAAAGTAGGACTCTACCAAGAAACAATGCTATCAGAGGAGCCAAGGACTACAACAGGGAGTAAGCAATAATATCATATCTTCATGAAGCCAAGTGCAAGAGAAAGAAATCACGAGAGAGAATACACAGAAATCATTCACTAGACCCTGGCCAGGAAAACGCAATGGAGTAACACAGGAGGCAGGAATCTGTTGGCAATGATAGTAAATGCTGAGCATGTAAGACTTCTTTTCTCCAAGTTGGACTATGGTTAAGAGCACTGGCAGCTCTTACAGAGGACATGGGTTTAGTTCCTAGCACCCACAAGGCTGTGGGTCCTGTCTGTAACTGTCCTGTCTGTAACTCCAGCTCCAAGGGATCCAATGCCTTCTCTGACTTCCATGGGCATTTTACATACACAGTATTCTTACATGCAGTCAAAACCCTTATAGACATAAAGTTCAATTTTTTAAAAAAATTCTAAAGATCAAAGTTTGCTTTCTCCAAAAAGTACTAAAATATGTTTAAGGGGCCAGAGAGATGGCTCAGCGGTTAAGAACACTGGCTGTTCTTGCAGAAGACCCAGGTTC